GGGGGGCAGGGCTGGCAGGGGCTGTGGGTCGGGAGTGAGGGGCGCCGGCAGAGCTGGGGGGGTCCTGGCCCCGTGCTGACCCCAGTTCGTCCCCCTGCCCCCAGGTGTGGTGGGTGCGTGAGCAGCCCCTGGCCCTGTCACTGGTGCCCGAGGAGTCACAGCTGCGTCCCAGGCGCGTCCTGCCCCCACGGCGAAGGGACCATCTACAACCAGAACGTGAGGGACTCGCCCCTGGGATGGGGAAGAGGGCCATGGCATCTCGGGGGTGGGGTGGGGGATGAGGAAGGGGACCCAGGCGTCCGGGACGTCATCTCAGGTGTTGGGTGGGGGATGAGGAAGGGGACCCAGGCATCCAGGACGGCATCTTGGGGGTCGGGTGGGGTATGGGGAAGGGGACCCAGGTGTCAGGGACGGCATCTCGGGGGTGGGGGATGGGGAAGGGGACCCAGGCATCCGGGACGGCCCCACCCACACTTCCCTCCAGCTTGCTCCCCCAGTCTAACCCCCTCTACCCGCAGGTCCGGGAGGGGGGCCCCTGGGGCCCGGAGGCCTGCCCCAGCCTGGGGGGCATCGAGGGGTCCCCCCTGGTGCCCGTAGGGGTGGCCGTGCCCCTGAGCCTGGCGGCCCACAACCTGCAGCTTCTGGGGGTGAGTGCGGGGCACTGGGGGGCAGGGGGATGTTGAGGTGGGGCAGTGGGCGGAGTCAGGGGGGCAGGCTGGGCTCACTCTCTCCCCCACCCCAACAGGCCCCGTTGCCATGGTTACACTGGGCTGTTGGGGGGGGGGGGGCAGGCCTGGTCTCACTCTCCACCCCCTCCCCCGCAGGACCCGTTGCCACGGTTGCGCTGCGTGGTGGAGGTGGGGGGGGCACCCGTGTCGGTGGAGGCGTCGCTGGACGAGGAGGGAGGGGCCCAGCGGGTCCGGTGCCGCCCCCACATGTACAGCTACTCCCTTCCCCCCCCCCAGCTCCCAGCCCCCCTCTACGTCTCTGCAGGGGGCGCGGGGCGCCTGGACAACCGGGGGGACCTGCAGGGTGAGTGACCAGGCGCTGCGAGCTTCCCCGCGGCAGTGCCCTGGGGGGCAGGGGTGCTGCGAGCTTCCCTGCAGCAGTGCCCTGGGGGGCGGGGGCGCTGCGAGCTTCCCCGCGGCAGTGCCCTGTGGGGGGCGGGGCAGGGGCGCTGCGAGCTTCCCCACGGCAGTGCTCTGGGGGGGCGGGGAGCCGGCGCTGCGAGCTTCCCTGCGGCAGTGCCCTGGGGGCGGTAAGTGGCCGCTGCGAGCTTCCCCGCGGCAGTGCCCTGGGGGGCGGGGTGGGGGCGCTGTGAGCTTCCCCACGGCAGTGCCCTGCGGGGAGGGGGCGCAGTGAGCTTCAGAGTGGGGAGGGGGCTGGGACACTGCTGATCTCCTTTTCGGCCTCCCCCAGTGACCCTCTACAACTGCTCCGTGGGGCGGGCCGACTGCAGCCACTGCCTGGCAGCCCCCCCGGAGCTGGGCTGTGTCTGGTGCCCGGCCGGGGGGGGTCCCGGCTGCCGCTTCCGGGACCTCTGCCCCCCCGGCGCCGCCGAGCCCCTCTGCCCCACCCCCATCATCCAGGCGGTGAGACTGGGACGAGGGGGGGGGATATTGGGCTGGCGGGACAGTGGGTCTGATGGGGGCCCGGGGGTAATGCCAGGCTGGGGCACAGGGGGGCACGGACACTGGCCTGTGGCCATGCGGGCGGGGGGAGAAGTTGGACTGGGGGGAGAGGGCAGAGGGGCGGGCAGGGGTGAGCAGTTGGGCTGTGGGGCGAGAGCAGGGGGATGCGGGTGGGGGGAGAAGTTGGACTAGGGGGTGCCGGGCTGGGGGTAACTTTGCCTCCCCCCAGATCCAGCCCCACAGCAGCCCCCTGGAAGGGGGCGTGTCCCTCACCATCACGGGCTCCAACCTGGGCCGGCGCCTGGCGGACGTGGGGTCGGTGCGGGCGGCCGGCCGGCCCTGCACCCCCGACCCCGCCCTCTACCGCGTCTCCACACGGTAAGGGGTGCCCCCGCCCCCATGCTGCGAGCTTCCCCCAGCAGTGCCCCGTCACCCTGCCCGCCCCCACGCTGCGAGCTTCCCACAGCCCCACTTCCCACCCCCGTGCTGTGAGCTTCCCCCAGCAGTGCCCCCAGCCCCCCAGAAGTGCGCATCTTGTCGAGGTCAATGGCCTGTTGGGCCATCCAAGCCACAGAGGGTCCGTCCTGGCCCGAATAGCAGTTCCCCAAACCCTCCAGCCCGACACCTGGGCGCTGCGGACGCCGGCCCTCGGCTCCGTACGACCCTGGGAGGAACGCTTGGCCCGACAGCCCGTCTCGGGGTGCGCTCGCCCTGTGGGGGTCAGCGCCGGGTAGGTGAGATCCGCGCTGTCGAAAGAAGCGACCGCCCCCTGCCTGGCACTGACACCGGCCTGGGGCGGCCAGGGGGCTTTTGACACTACCAGTCTCCTAATTGGGCACATGGTGATGTCACCGCAGCCGAACGGGACAATGATGTTCAGCAGATTACGAGTTTGCAAATGATACGTCACAAGGCAAACACTACACAACACGTGTTGTCACCATGTAAAAGTGGGGAACGTGGGGCGCAGGGTGTCACATTGGGGTACGGGGTATCAGGCTTCCCCCCAACAACATTCCCCAGCACTGCGAGCTTCTCCACAGCAGTGCCCCCAGCTGGCTCTGTCCCAGCGCTGCGAGCTTCCCCACAGCAGTGCCCATTCTCCCCCCCACAGGATCGTGTGCCGGGTCTCTCTAGGGCAGAGGGGCGTCTCTGGCCCCGTTGAGGTCACCGTGGGGAACCGGCCCCCCGGCATCTCTGCCGACCACTTCACCTACCAGGTCAGCGCGGGCTGGGACCGGGGGTGCTGGGGGTGCTGGACTCATGATGTGAGGGGTGGGCAGACCCGGGGGGGGGCAGGAGTCCTCTCTCTGCTGCTGCTGCGAACTTCACCTAGCAGTGTCCCCAACCAGGCTTATCCCAGCGCTGCGAGCTTCCCCCTAGCAGTGCCCCAGCTGGGTCTGTCCCAGCGCTGTGAGCTTCCCCCCAGCAGTGCCCCAGCTGGGTCTGTCCCAGCGCTGCGAGCTTCCCCCCAGCAGTGCCCTTTCTCCTGTAATGGGTTCCCTCCCCCCGCCAGGACCCCGCCCTGCGGGAGCTGCACCCCAGGATGGGCCCCATGGCAGGGGGCACCCGACTGACCATCCTAGGGGAGGAGCTGCTGACGGGCGACCAGATCGCAGCCTTCGTGGGAGAGCTGCCCTGTACCATGTGAGCCCCCCCACCCCCCGGCTCGCCCCCCGCTCCCC